TAAAAAAAAATAAAAATAAAAATAAAACCCTGTACCAAATACATGAATAATAACAATAGTAATAAAGCATCAATTTCAAAATTAAGAAAAAAAAAAAAAAGAATTTAGTGAAGCCTTCTCACCAAGTGTACCCACACTGGAATTTCCAGGAAGAAATAGAGTTTCTTAATGCAATTTTCCCAAATGGAGCAGCATATTGTATGGGACGTATGAATTCTAACTGTTGGTACTTGTATACTCTGGATTTTCCAGAGTCGAGTAATCAGCCAACCAGATCAGACCCTGGAAATTCTGATGAGTGAGCTTGACCCAGGAGTTATGGACCAGTTCTACATGAAAGATGGTGTTACTGCAAAGGATGTCACTTGTGAGAGTGGAATTTGTGACCTGATATCAGGTTCTGTCATTGATGCCACACTGTTCAATCCTTGTGAGTATTCAATGAATGGAATGAAATCAGATGGAACTTATTGGACTATTCCCTTAACTCCCGAACCAGTTTTCTTATGTTAGCTTTGAAACAAACTTAAAGTCAGACCTCTATGATGACCTGATCAGATAAGTTGTGGAAGTCTTCAAGCCAGGAAAATTTGTGACCACCTTATTTGTCAACCAGAGTTCTAAATGTCACACAGTGCTTTCTTCACCCCAGAAGACTGAAGGTTTTAAACGTCTTGATTGTCAGAGTGCTATGTTCAATGATTACAACTTTGTGTTTACCAGTTTTGCTAAGAAGCAGCAACAGTAGCAGAGTTGATTAAGAAAAATGAAGAAAAAATGCAAAAAGAGAACACACATAGAAGGTGGTGGCTGCTTTCTAGATGTTGATACCAGGGGCTATGCTTTCCATAACCGCCACCTTGTAGTTGCAGAAAGCCCTAGATGTAATGATAGTGTAATCATTTAGAAGTGTATGCATTATTATATCAAGGAGTTAGATATCTTGCATGAATGCTCTCTTCTTTGTTTAGGTATTCTATGCCGCTCTTCTTGTGAAATTGAAGTGCAAGTAGAAAAAAAACTTTTACTATATGAAACTTTACAACACTTGTGAAAGTAACTCAATTCGGTTTATGCACAGTATAATATTTCTGCAGGTATCGTCCAAAATTCCCCACAGACAAGGATTCTGTCCTCATTAGGTGTTGGGACTGTTCTATTATATTGCTGCCAGAATTTTACATCCAGTTACCTCCACTTTGTAACATATTCTCTACTAATAACACTGAAACCAATTTCTACTT